AGAGAGAGAGAGAGAGAGAGAGAGAGAGAGAGAGAGAGAGAGAGAGAGAGAGAGAGAGAGAGAGAGAGAGAGAGAGAGAAAGTCGCTAGGGAGCGAGGGGAAGTAGAAATCGTGCGGGTGATTTTTTAAAAAGATGGCAGCGAGGGTTGTGTGTCGTGGCCAAGTGGCAAGGCGAACTGTTATAATTTTTTAGATGTCCGAGCATCAAGATTTTTGTCCGAATCGTGATTTTGGTTTTGTGGCAGTGGATACCAAGTATGGTTATCGGGAGTATGAGGTTGATGCTAACGGGGTACTCGTTATGCGTTTGCAGCTGGGTTTGGGGTATGTGGGTGATGATCTGCGAGATGCGTCTGTTTTTGTAACAAAACTGCATGAGGATGTGCCGAACGGTTATTCTGGCCGCGAGGAGGATATTATAGAGCATGTTGTACGTTTGCTGCTGTCGTCTATAGCGTTGGAGCATGATGGTCGCATGACGGGGATTGCGGAGTGGGAAGTGATTCTGGACGCGCCATTGGTTGGGCGACCATATCTACATGGGGAGTTACGTGTGGATACGTAGCTTATAGGGGTCATCAGGTGTTTTTTTTCAGGAGGTGTATGCAAAGTGCGGGTATCTTTTGGCGGGTAGGTGAAGAGAGGGTCAGTCTGTAGGTGTGGATCATTGTGTTGCTTGTGTTGATGTATAGTGGGTGCAGGAGTAAATTTGCCCTTGTTGTCTTGGTCATGCGTCCGGGAAGAGGATCTGTGTTGTGGGTTTCGAGAGTCATATTGTCTTATGTTTTTTTTGGATTCTACCATCCGTGAAGGTCCGTTGCTACACGCTTCAGTGTTCAACGCAGAATTGGAGAGTGATGCCAAAGGGTGGTGATGTAATTTCATGGAACTATATTAGGATCAACACGTTGGGGTGGTGTTGTTGATAAAGCATCACGGGGTAGCTTTGGATGTTCATATGTACTAGTTTGGGGAGCAAGTTTATATGATATTTTAGTAAAAGACATAAGGTTGCTTCGTCATTGGATGTTCAAAGGGATGGTATGGTTCTTGCCGTTATGCGTGTGGGTGGAAACCCACGTTGAGTATGGGCTTATCAAAGTATGCCTTGTTTGCCACTTAGCTTGCGGGTGTTTTTTAGTTTTTTCATCATCGTTGTGAAAACGTTAGAGATCACGTGTGTGAGAGACTGTGTGTGTTCTACATGGTTCAATTTTGTTTTTTTACTTTTATGTATTTTGTGCGCCTTATTGGTGGATGTATGTGTGTGTTGATCTAAGTGTTAGCATGTAAGCGGTACATTGTGTTTCTTTGCGCATGCATACAATTATTAGGAGTGGGTCATGTCGCTCAAGTTAGGAGCCTATGTCACGTAGCATAATGCGCAAAGCTTTATTAGCTAAGCTTAGAATTGAATTATCACCGATTGGTCGGTTGCGGTGTCATCCTTCTGCCAAGGAGAGGTTGCGGCCGAAGATTTGTGTACACAGAACGACTGTTTTTTGTTGTTTTGTATTTGTTTTTTAACTTTTATTCTTATGCCTTTATTAAGAATATTTTGTTTTTTTTTGTGTCTGGACCATGTTGCTCAAGTTAGGAGCCCATGTAAGGTAGCATACTCCGCCATGTTTTATTAGCTAAACTTAGTACTCTATTGGCTATCACCGGTCGGTCGGTTGTAATGTTATCCTCCTGCCAAGGAGAGGTTGCGGCCCGAAGTTTTGGGATTCTGTGAGCCCATAATAACTATTTTTTTGATGTATTTTTATTAAAAAATTCCCGTTTTTTTGTGCGCAAGCGCAAGTCCATTAGTCATTGTTGCTACCATTTGTTTTTACCAATGACTTACTACTGAATTTGTATTCTATTTATGAGCTAAATTCATGAAAACTGAAATGAGTGTATAAACAATATTTATAATGTTAACAAAAGTTTTGTTACGTTGGAGATAGACCTAGATCTATTCTAGGTGTAAGCGCGAGATTTCACAGAAAAAAACACACACCCCTACAGAGCCTTGCCCGCTATGACATTCAGAGTGGCGGAAGCAGCATTATCTGTGTGGTGGACTAATTTAGAGTATGTGTAGTGTGTTCTATTTTTTATAAGGTGTCTATGAATATATCCTTGAGCTCGTATTGAGGTGTGATTATAATGGAGAGCGCACAAAGACCAAAAAACGAAGAAACCTAGGTGGTAGAATTAGGATTTACATTACAGGAATTCATCAGCCGGGAAGGTTTCGGGGTCACGAAAATTTGTCATGGGGATCATGCAACGATGTAAAGCAGTAAGTTAGTTCGGTACGCACATCGTCATATGAGCAGAGCTTCAGGTAGTTTTTTTAGTACAAGTCCCAATGTTTAGGTTTTAATTTCGGAGAATTATTTTTAGTCTGTACCCTGCACAACGCGCAGATAAACTATCCATTTCGATTTATCTATCTGCTCTAGTTAATAGGTAGAAGCCTTATTTGCTACAATCGGATTAGTAGTTACGCATATCCCTGTATTTCAATTCACAGGTGACCACCCACTGAGTTTCGGGCGATTGGTATGTTTAGTCATTGGTTATGTACTCAATTTGCCAAAAAACGGATGGTTGGTCGTAACGCATATGGAACTCTGAGCGGTGCCCCATACGCATTCACATGTCGTTACTCGCGTCGTCATTCCAGTCAGGTTCTGTTGCGGGGAAAACAAGGAATAGTACTATGCACGTCGTAACTCCGTGTCTCTCTCTGTTTTACATTTCTTTGTATTGCGTGGCCCATAGGCAAGTGGTAGTCGGGATACGAAAAAAAATCAGAAAACATCAATCATGCTAAAAAAGGAACGGACATTTTTTGTGTAGTCATTGAACAAGTCTCATCTTATCCTGTAAAATAGTTATATGGCTACACTATCATATAGTTCTAGACACAAACTCATGTCTGCTAGTCCCTACGGGAAACTTGTGGTGAATTCTTTGGTACCTCTTCAAGGGGTTATAAGGTGTAACCGACATAATCGGCGTTTCGACAATTTTCATCATTATTACTACACACGCCATACTTTATCTATACAAGTTAATTTTGGAGGATCAAATCATGATTAGCTTGTGTAGGTGGACCAACAATAGTTTCGAATATGCTATCCGTGGGGAGGCATGCGCTATCAACGTAATTAATCAGCTCGCGGATCAAGATGAAAAAATGACAAATGCATAAGAAACGTTACACATGTGTGCAACAATTTACTGTGTATATAAAGGCTTGCGTAGAGGATTTGAATCAAAAGTAGTGATCGGGGAAGGTGAGTGGGTGTAGGGATCGCTTATACGCGGAAGTACGTGCAGAGGGTTTGTAGTGGGATCCTATGTTCCACGCTGGTCGCGGCTGGGTTCAGCCCAGGCCGCGACAGGCGGCCTAGGCTGGGACCCCCCCGACCACAACCAAACGCGGCCGATAATTTCGGTCGGCGCCGCGGCCGATCAGGGAGGGGGTTTGGGGGCCGGGGAACGAGTTCCGAGTCGGGGGAGGGTCCCCTGCCTCCTCGCAAAAAAAAAAACATAGATACTTCAAAAACAAGGGGGGTGGATTTCGATGACTACAAAAAAAAATTAAATAAATAGAAAAAAATAAATTTTCATTGATTGACTATTTTTTAACTTTTTTTTTTTTATTGATTGATTGATTGATTGATTGATTGATTGATTGATTGATTGGTTGATCGGTTGATTGATTGATTGATTGATTGATTGATTGATTGATTGATTGATTGATTGATTGATTGGTTGGTGGGGGAAGGGTCCTCCCTTTACTCCACGGCGCGCGCACCTCTCTCTCTCTCTCTCGCGCGCGCGCGCGCGTGCAGCTCCCGCATGCTCACGCGCAGCTCTCTGTGAAGCTGTCCGCGCAGCTCCCGCACACGCGTGCGCACACACACCCACACACACACACACACACACACACACACACACACACATACACACGAAAACCAGTATGGCAGTGTATATTCCCACGATGTAGCGC